GCCAAACGTGGAGCTGTACAGTAAGGGAAGGGCCATTTGAATTTGCTGTCTCTATATTCCAGTAGTGGCTTGCAGTGCTCTAACCCTAAAGGAATGAGCAGGCAGCAGTTGACAGGATGCTTTTCCTCTCGTCCTGTCCCAGGGAATATGGACTGCCCACGGCCAGGGGCTGTGTGGGTGCTGATAGAGCTTTGGAGTGGGGAGCAAACAAACAAACAGGTCTGGAGGAGGGAAGGGATCAGACGAGCCTCAGCTGCTTGTTCCCCCCCTGAATGGCTCTCTTTCATCAGGATGTGTCAGCACAAGTGCTTTTTCAAGCCAGGATATCAGGGGAAGACACAGTGTTCCCTAAAAGTCATCCAGTTCCTGGGCAGCACCAACAGCTGCGATCGCTCTGCTCCGCTCGGAACCTACGCTTGACCTTTCCTTTTCTTCCTCTTCTCTTTCTCTTTTAATGGGCTTTAGAAGCAAAAGGATGTGAGTTTTACAGCTAGTTATGAATCTTTTGGACTTCCCTGACTTCTGTCTGACTCTGGGGCCAGCACAATGCTTCTGCTGTTCCAAGAGCTCCACTCCAAATTAGTATGTATGAGCCACTGGGGTTTGTGCTGCTTGGGGGTGTTTGTCACTGCTGCCGAGGGTGCAGAGCTGGGGATGTGCTTTACTCACAGGATCCTGCTGTGCTTTGGGAGATTTGTGGCTAAAAGGCTGGAGCTTGTTGTTTGCTGGAGCTGCAGGGTTTAAAAGGGGTTTTACACTGGGTTGGGATGTTGTGTGAAGGGACAGAGAGCAGAGATAAGGACAGTGCTGGGGCATGTTGCTGTGACAACTTGGGGTAAGCTCTGAGCTGATGCAGAGAGGAGTTTGTGGGTGCTGCCTGTGCTGGGGGAGCAGGAGGTGTGTGTGGCCTCAGCCTGCAGGTCAGGAGGTAGGTCTGGAGTGAATTATAAGTGTTGCTCTCATCAGGCTCTGGGGCTTTGCTTTCTGCTCCGTTTCCAGGCGGGTGGGTGAATCCATGGGGACAGAAATGATGCCATGTGGGTTGTCCTTTCCCTGCTCCAGCAGCATAGCTTTCCCTCTCACCTGCAACTGGGAATGTTCTGCTTTAGTGTGACAGATTTCCTGACTGCAGGAGAGGAGAACATCAGGAGAGGTGAACCATCAGAGCAGGAGTGACGATAACTTTGGGAAGGAGCTGTTGCTTCCAAGGCTTTTCCTGCTGTACAAATCCTAGTCAGTACTTCATAAGGGATAAAAGATCCTTTGAGGCAAAAGAACATCCTTCAGGCTAATTTTTTGCTTACCCAAAGAAATATTTCCCCAAATTCCTGGGCTGGGAATGCTGTCAATTCTCTCCTTGTGCATTATCCAGCCGTTGCCTCCCTCCTGGAAGCCCTGGGGAGTGTGCTGAGGCTGAACACCCCACACATTGTGTTGGGGTCAGTGCTCTGTGTGGCCTCTTTTAACCCTTTCCTGCGAGCTGTGGTGTGGGAAGGAAGCAGGACTCTTCCTGGCTGGCTCATGGAATGAGCCACATTCCCGTTTGCTGCGCCAGGCTGAGCGGAGAGAGCTCCTGGATCACAGCACACCTGGCACAGCTCCTGCTCTCACACAGCTGGTGAAGTGAGGGGTGAGTGCTGCAGTCCTGGGGAAATGTGGATGGAGAAAAGCGTGGTGGAATTCCAGTGGAATTCTCCTGCTGCATTTTATTGATCTTGTGGAGCTTGGGACTTGGGAGAAAATTTTAGTTCACTGCTCTGAAGCGTCTGAAAGCTCAAATTTAAACCTCATCCAGGTTTTCCTGGGGGTTTTGGAAGGAGGAAGCTTTGCCTAGGATCCTGCTCTGTGTTGCCAGGGAAGGGAAAAGCTGAGAAGACTTGAAATTCATGTCTGTCCTCTCAAAATTGGGAGCATTGGTGCTCCCTCCTGCCCCAAGGCAAAGACCATGGATAAAGCATGGCATGGATGAGTGCTGGGCTTGGGAACTCCAGCAGGATCATTTGCTGTAGATAACTCCTGTGCAGCACAGTCTCCTAATGGAGTGTTTCAATTAACAGGCAGCAGGCAGTAATTAATGATGATTGTGGTTGGGAGCAGCAGGAGATTGGGCTTTGGGACAAGAAGTGGCTCTGGTGCTGGTTGGGGAGCAGAGGAGATGCAGTGTAAGTGGCAGCTAAAAGGTTCCTCAGGAGATGTGGATTTACAGCCATGGGGGAAAAACAACTTCACTGCTTATGGCCAAGGCTGTAAGATGTTACCCAAGAGGTGCTGAGCTGTGCAGTGAGGCTGAGCTGGTGCTTGCTCCCACCTCTGGTACTGTTCTGCCTTCTCCTCTGTTGTCTCCCAGCCCTGCCATGTTCTCCTCTCCACTCCTTTTGCCCTGGGCCTTGCATCCAGGTAATGAGTTGGGTCAGGAAACTGCTCTAAGTGTTTGTTGTGCTAGAGTTAATTTTCCAGGCAGCTGGCAAACACTAACACAGGAGGAGGGACAGGAGCTTGATGATGCTCATGGACACTCTTAAGTCAGCCTTGAAATTGCTTTGAAAGAAACGCAGTGTTGTGTGTCCTGGGAGTCATTTGCCTCTGGAAATGTCCTTGTGTTTGCCCAGGCTGGGACCTGCCTCGCTGGCAGCAGCACATTGCAGAGCACTGGGTCCAGCCCCCCAAAGCCAAACCTCTGCTCTTGTGTAGGTGGTTTTCCCCCTGAGGGTTCAGAGCAGTTTCCTGTCCCTTGTGATGTGCAGGTTCCTTCCTTCCCTTCCTCTTTATAGCTACGTGGTCACATGTTCTTGTTTTGGCATTCCAAAGGAACCTCAAGGACGGAAATGAAGCTCGAAGGTTTGACTCGGAACCTGCTCCTCAGTGGGTTTGTAGGTCTGAGCCTGTGGCAAGTTCTCTCTCTGCTTTTTTTTTAACGTTGTAGAATTCTATGATCAAGTGATCAAGTAATTTTCAGCCCTGACAGCTCAGGGAAGTCTCTCCTGCAGTGCCCAAGTAATAAAACACTGGTGGAAAATGACATTCCATGAATAATCCTGGAGCCATACCGTGCAAGTGGCAGGATCACACTTCGGGAACAGCTTCTCCTGGCTAAACTCTGCCATGATTTAGTGAGGGGAAGCCCTTCCTTCCCCAGATGTGCATGTTCTGCTTGCAATTGACTCCTGTGTGGTTTGTTTTGCAGCCTCAGCGAGAGCTTTTTCATGGTGAAAGGTGCAGCCCTTTTCCTGCAGCAAGGAAACAGCTCCCAGGGCCAGCGAAGCCTCCAGCACCCTCACAAACATGCAGGTACTGGATTCAATCACCTCTGGACATACCTTTTCCCTCCCACCCAGGTGGACAGGCTGATGGCACACATGGGTGACTCCCCATGCTGTCCTGGTGGGCCTTGTCCACCCTGCTGAGCAAGGCCAGGGCTTCATCCAAGGGGAACTGGGATTATTGGGTCTTGGCATTGTCTCAGGACTGTGACTGGGGTAGAAACTTGTTTTCTGTGGAGATCATGGCATTCCCCATGGCTCTCCTCAGGCTGCTGCAGAGCCAGAAGGGCTGTGTAGAATATCTATCCCTGTTTTCTCCAGCCACAGATGAAGAAATGTCCCTGGTGCATCAGGGATTTAATCTCTGCCTTTCCCTTTGGCCTGTGGGGAGGAAAAGTGGATGGGCTGAGTCACAAGGCTCAGCACCTCTTGGGGAGTGAGCAGGATCCTGGTTCAGGATGGCAGGGACATTTCTCCAAGTGCTGTCCCAGCCCCCAGGAATCTGAAGCTTGGGATTTCCCCTGCCAGCCTGTGTTCCTTGGAAACCTGCTGCTGCTTTGGTTTGATGCTGCTGGGAAGAGCAAGGGATGCTTGAATAGGATTTGGGACTCTGGATAGCTCCTTCTGTCCCCTTTCCTGGTTTCAGGAAAAACTCCTTTCCTGTAACTCACCATGATCTGCTCTGTAAGAGTTTCTTACGGTTTAAAACCAGACTGTTCTTCTCCCAGTTCCCTCCAGTGTGCCACACTGGTGGGATGAAGTGGTAGGGAGTGGTGTGGTGAGTGCACACAAGGACTGGGGAGCAGGGAAGTGGGTTCTGCTTCCCCAGTGATCTTATCCCTTCTCTCTCTAACCATGTTGGAATAAGTGGCCCCTGGGCAAAGAGAACTAGGATCTTTGGGGCATTTTGAGAGCAGGAGCATGTGGGAAAGGCACAGTGTGGTACTGTGTGGCTGCTGCTGAGTAAACACTCCAGGCACAAAGAGGTGTGTGAGTGCCAAGCTTGGCTTGGGCTTTCCTGAAGTGTCAGCAATTTCATATACCCAGCAAACATCCTCCAGCAGGAGTTCTGTCTGGATGGAGGGTCAGGAGTTCCTTACTGAGCTCTTGGATGGGAACTTGGGTTGTTTTCCTGTAGATTCCTTGTTCCCTCCTTTTGCCTTCCCCAAACAGAAACATCCCCACTGCTCTGGGGCCAAAGGGACTTCTTGCTTGAGCAGAACTTTGAGGTAGAAGGGCTCCAGCAGCCACAGCACTCCTGCCCCTTCCTCCTCTTCACATGCACCTTCCAGTGGGGCTGAGCCCACAGTGCTGTGTGTGATTCATAGCTCAACGTTGTTCTTGTCTCCTTTCTTACCTGTTTTTTTTTAGCCAGAGTTGTCCCTCTTGCCTCTTCCTCCCCTGTTCTCATGGTCTGTATCTGATTCTCAGTGCAGCAAGAGTCACTGCTGATGACTCCTCTGCTTTCTCTGCAGGTGACTTGCCCCAGCACCTCCAGGTGATGATCAACCTCCTTCGCTGCGAGGACAGGATCAAACTGGTAAGGACAGAGCTGTTTTCCTGCTCTCCTTTCTGTTGGAAGTGTTTGAGACAGACCTGTAGAGCTTCATCAAAGCATTGCCAAATCCTAGATTTCAGAGGCACCTTAGCTCTGCTGTCTCCCAGCCCTGCCACATTCTCCTGTTTTGCCCTGGGCCTTGCATCCAGAGAATGAGTTGGGTCAGGAATCTGCTCTGAAGTGAAGGGAAAACTTCTGCCTAAGATCTAATCTAAATTTCCCTCTCTCAAATTGTGCCAATTACTCCTTGTCCTGTCACTGTGGCTCCTAACACAGAGGGATAATTCCTTCCCTGGAGCCCCTTCAGCTCCTGGAAGGTGCTCTGAGATCTCCACACAACCTTCTCTTCTCCAGGCTGAACAGCCTCAACTCTCGCATAGTGAAGTTGCTCCAGTGCTCTTACCAACTTTGTGGCCTCCTCTGGCCTTGCTGCCACAGTTCCATGTCCTTCTGCTGCTGGGGACAGCAGAACTGTGTGCAGCACTCCAGGTGGGGCCTCCCCAGAGCAGAGTAGAGAGGAACAATCTCTTCCCTTGACCTGCTGCCACAGCCTTTTGGCTACAACCCGAGTTGGCTTTGTGGGCTGGAGAAAGTCAAGCAGTGCCAAGTCAAATGGGCAACTAACTCTGTGCCTTTCCTACAGCAGCCAGATCAAGGTTTTGGGGGCAGAGTTATCCCCTGAGAAAGCTGAGGCAGGGTGGCAGTGGAGGTGGCCGTGGGTAACTGAGCCTGGTGCCCGCAGGCCGTGCGGCTGGAGAGCGTGTGGGCCGACCGCGTGCGCTACATGGTGGTGGTGTACAGCAGCGGCCGCCAGGACACCGAGGAGAACATCCTGCTGGGTGTGGACTTCTCCAGCAAGGAGAGGTAGGTCTGAGCCTCAAACCAGCCAGTGGCTTCTCTCTGGAGCCCTCAGTGTCCCTGAGCACTCGGTTTGTGGGGTGTGTTCAGATTGCAGCCAGAGAAAAGGATGTGAGTTGAGTTTTGTGTCTTACTCCACAAAGCTTTCAGTCTCCTCGGAATCTGTGGGCAAAGAGCTCACGTGGATTCAGAGAATCACAGAATCAATCAGGTTGGGAAAGACCTCAGAGATTGAGTCCAACCCTACTGTGGTTACCAGACCATGGCACTAAGTGCCACATCCAGTCTCAGCTTGAAAACCTCCAGAGATGGTGAATCCACCACCTCCCTGGGCAGCACATTCCAATGTCTGAGCACTCTCTCTGGAAAAAATCTCTTCCTAATATCCAACGGGCACAACCAGCCAGTGCCAGCAGTTCTTGCTTGCTTGCTTGCTTTCCTTCTTTCTTTCCTTCATAGAATCATAGAATCAACCAGGTTGGGAAAGACTTCCAAGATCATCCAGCCCAACCCTACCGTGGTTACTAGACCATGGCACTAAGTGCCACATCCAGTCTCAGCTTGAAAACCTCCAGGGGTGGTGAATGCAGCTGTGGCATCCACCTCAGCAGTGGTAGTTTTGCAAAATGCTCTTGCACACACATTGGTAAAACTAGAGCTTGTTCTCCCCACCAGACTCAAAACTGTTGACGGTGTGAGAATCCTCAAGGCTGGAGAAGACCTCTCAGGTCCTCAAGTCAACCCTCAGCCTGCCACTCTGCTGTGTAATGCAGTGAAACTGGGCTTGGGGGAATCAATTAGTTGCCAGCTAATGTAAAAACACAACACTGCCCAAGGAGCTCCAAACCCAGCAAACAACGGTGGCAGTAATGAGCTGTTCCTTTTGTCTGGCTGGTCAGAGCACGTAGGATTTGGGAAAGCAAAGCACAGGGTTTGTTATCACAGCTCCTCTCAGCTCAGCCCAGTTCTGGGGAAGTAACCCAAGGCAGAGGAGCTCCTGGCTCAGGGAGTTGGGCTGGTTTGGCAGAGCTGAGTTGGGAGCTGGAGCTGCCAGGCTGTGTCTGTTCTCCCAGGAGAGCAGCCAGGGTGGGTTTTGTTTCAGTCTGGAAAACCTTAGAGGTGGTTTCCATTGGAAAGGGGAAGCTTTGCACAGCAGAGATCTGTAGGGAAGCTCCAAGCTGTGCCTTCCTCATAAGGTTATTGCCATTGGCTTTGCCGTTGCCTCTTGTTCTGCCTTAAAAATTCCTGAAATTCTCTGAAATTGCTGTTGTGAGTGTTCTGGAGCAGATTGCTATGTGGCACTAGGTGTGCCACAGCAGTGACAGTTTGCCATGGCATCTCCAATCTGAAATGACCTTGAAATAATTTGCTCCTGGGGATTATTGAGACGAGACAAGAGGAAAAGGTGGAAAGGTTGAGACAAATCCATCCCAGCTGTAAGGACAGTCACCATTTTGGTGACTGACTCCCCAAAATTCAAAGGGCTGTTGATTAAGGGGAAATTTTGTCAGGTGCTTTTGTGGGTGTTACTCCTTTCACATGTGTTTAATGAACCCCATTTTCCTTGCAAACTGTGAAGTGCTCCATGTCCACACATGTATTCAGACTGACCTGTCAAATCCTTTGAGCCACTGTAGGAAGTGGCTGAAGGTGTCAAAAAGAAAGGAAAATTTACCACCCCATCACGCTCAGACCTGAGCTTCCACTCTCATTTTGTTACCCACTTGATGGCCTAAAATGTTACCAGGAATTACTAGAGCAAGGCTTGAGGAGTTTAAAAATTCAGGAGTGTTAATAATTGAGGCTATTGGCATGACCACATGGTGGCCTATATTTAACATCCTGTGTAACCACCTCTCTTCCAGTAAGAGCTGCACTATAGGGATGGTTCTTCGCCTCTGGAGTGATACCAAAATCCATCTGGATGGGGATGGGTAAGAAACCACATTGAAAGGATAAATGTGAATGTCTTTCCCTGCTTGGGGGCTGCTCTGGGAGAGATTCTCCTCACCTGGCAAATGAGGTTCCCATTTGGAGTCCTCTTAGCCAGGGAATCTGGGCCTTGCTGCCCTCACAGTGCTCAGTGGGACCTGTGGCAGCCAGGGAATGCTCTGAGATCCCACTCCAGGGACCCTGGCAGCCTCCACCAGGAAGGTGTCCCCTTGCCCCACTCCTCTCTGGTTGGAAAATCAGTGCTAGATATTCCCATCCCTGGTTCTTTGGGACTGGGGGTGCCCCAGGGGCTGCTCTGCAGTAGCTGTTAGTGGAGAGCAGGTTGTGGTGCAGAGAAAAGCAGCGTGTGACTTGTTTTTCCCTCTCTCCCCCAGTGGCTTCAGCGTGAGCACTGCAGGGAGGATGCACATCTTCAAGCCTGTGTCGGTGCAAGCCATGTGGTATGTGGTGGGAGGAGACTCTCAGTGCTGGGGGTGAATTAAAACCCCAGAACCATGTTGGAATTGCCCATAACTGGTCCTGCTGCCCTGGCTCAGCAGGTGGCAGGGCTGGAAAAGGGGCTGTGGGAATGCTGAGGCAAACCAGGATCTGCTGCTCTGTGCAGAGCAGCTCAGTGGGAGGGAAGTGGGCAGCAGTGAGGTGAATGGATATGAAGGATGAGCTTGGATTCGTGGAGCTGCAAACCCAGAGTTTGCTCTCTCTGTGTTTCTCTCCCTGGTGACAGAGGAAGCTCAGGATCCATTGCCAGACTGTGACATTCCCTGTGTGCTGCCTCATTCCTGGGGTTCCTGCTGCCCCTGGGTGCCTGTTCACCTTCCACCCTGGGTGCCACCCCTGCCCTGTGCAGGAATTCCAGAGCCCTGAAGCAGAGGGGGCTGAGTCAGCAGTGGCTGTGCCAGCAAATTCCTCCCTGAAGAGGCTGCTGCAAGGAAAACTGCATCTCCCCAGGCCTGGGCAGTGTGCTGGCTCCCCTTAGAGCCTGGAGACATCCCTGTCCCTGCAGCATCTCCTAGGGAAAGGATACAGATGTGGAAGAGGATGTTGTGCTAGGGATGATTTGGTACAGAAACAAACCAAACTCCTGTTCCTGTCGGGTTTGCACTCAGCCCCTCCTGTTGGCAGCCTGGGATGTGGCTGATGTGTTCAGTACATCTTAGCCTTAAAGGAAGGAAAAAATGTGGAGGGAAGGAAGGAAAAGGTCATGCTAGAATTTGCAAAAACAAATGACCCAATCTGGGCCTTGTCCCTGGAGCCTGTCAGGGGCCAAGAATGCTGGTAAATATGCACCAGGCTCCTGCTG